CCCCCCCCCCCTCCTCTTGCCAAGCCCTCACACTCCCACCCTGCTCCGGCACCCTCCCCCCTCTAGATCCCTCCCCCTGCTCCTGCACCCTCCCCCCTCCAGATCTCTCCCCCTGCTCCTGCACCCATCCTCCCTGCCTCCCCACCTTCAGCCCACTTCTGCACCCAACTTCCTGGACAGACCTCTACCCCCAACCTGCTCCTGCATCCTCCCTCCCGCATCAGATTCCGCACCTCCTTCCTCTCGTACACCCATTTTGTCATCATGGGTGGTTGGCTGGTGGTCCACAGAGGTCTGCTTTGAACAGGGTGGGCCCCAAGCCCAAAAGGTTGAGAGCCACTGTCCCAGGCCCTATTAATACCCCCCTGCCTCCAAGATCTTGCCATAGAAATAGACAAGACACAAGAAGGATTATTATCTCTGTTTTGCAGATAGGGGAAACTGAGGAAGGGAGATGTGGGGGATAGATTCAAGTGATGTTGTCATGGTTTCTCAAGGAGTCTGGCTAGAGCCAGGAACTGACCCCACATTCTTTCAAGCTGTGTCCAGTACATTAGCTACAAGGGCATGCGCTCTCTTGAACGTGCCTCCGATCCATCAGTTGGCTTCATAAATAACGAATCCAATGTCTCTCCGTCTGTTTTCCTTTCAGAAACCCAGGATGTCCACCCTGAAGCTTCCAGGCTAGGACTCCACCTCGGGACCGCTCCCCTGCCCTTTTAAACCTGGCTACCCCCGCCCAGAATGGCTTTGTGTCTCAGCCAAGTTTTCAACAAAGACAAAACTTTTCGCCCCCGGAAGAAATTCGAGCCCGGCACCCAACGGTTTGAGTTGTACAAGAAGGCCCAGGCCTCTCTGAAATCGGGGCTGGATCTGAAAACCGTGGTCCAGCTGCCTCCCGGGGAGAACATCAATGACTGGATCGCGGTGCACGTGGTGGACTTCTTCAACCGGATCAACCTCATCTATGGGACCATGTCGGAGTTCTGTACCGGGAAAAGCTGTCCCATCATGTCCGGCGGGCTGAAGTATGAATACCGGTGGCAGGACGACCACAAGTACAGGAGGCCCACCAAGCTATCGGCTCCCCAGTACATGTGCATGTTGATGGAGTGGATCGAGATGCTCATTAACAACGAGGACATCTTCCCCACCAGGATCGGTAAGTGGGCTGTACCTCTTACATTCAGTCTCTTATGTCCAGCCAGTGATCCAAGTCTAATTTCCGGGGATTTCTACTGTCCTGTGGTCACCCTGTGCGTGTGCCTCAGTTTCCCTGGCCACTGCACCAATACCTACATGGGGGTGAGAATTCCGGGTGTGATTCCTGATGAGGGAGGCTGCCCCATCCCGGCATGCACACAACGGCTGAATCTTTACCTCCTATACTTGGTACATTAGCTAAAGCCAGGCAGGAGATATGGACCGGGGCAACTCAATGTAATATAAGAATGAGGGGCCACCAAATGAAACAAATGGGCAGCAGGTTTAAAGCAAATAAAAGGAAGTTCTCTTCATACAGCGCGCTGTCAACCTGTGGAACTCCTTGCCTCAGGAAGTTGTGACTATAACACGATTTTAAAGAGAACCAGATAGATTCATGGAGGTTAAGTCCATTAATGGCTATTAACCAGGATGGGTAAGGAATGGTGTCCCCAGCCTCTGTGTGTCAGAGGGTGGAGATGGATGGCAGGAGAGAGACGCTTGATCATTACCTGTTCGGTTCACTTCTTCTGGGGCACCTGGCATTGGCCACTGTCGGCAGACAGGATACTGGGCTGGATAGACCTTTGGTCTGACCCAGTCTGGCCGGTCTCATGTTCTTATGTTCTAACATTCCTGCAAATAGCTGTGACAATGCACTCCAGCTCCTGACCCATGGCCTACCCCGCTACTCCACTTCTAGGCCTACTAGGACCCGGCTTTTTCCAGGAGGACAAATCTCCGCCAGGAGAACAGGATATGGCCCACCACAAACACATGCCCTTGTCACCTAACCAAGTTCCCAGAGGCAAAAAGTTTGTGAATGGATTGCCTTGGCTGCAGATTTAATCCTTGTTACCCCTGTAGGTAACGTCTTTGGGGAGACCAGGGACTGGAGTCTACGGGGTTGGTTGAGCGGTATTGGTGATTTGTTATTCGGTCTGGCAGACACGTACCACCAGCCCTGGTTTCCTACAGATTGCTCTTGCTGTTTTCAGTGTCTTGATAAAGCATGCAGGCTCCATAAATAAACTTCCCCCTCGCTCACAGTCGGTCTTCTCCATGGTTCGGTTGGAATGAACCCAGCTGTCAAACCCACATGGCGCACTTGGAAACGGCTCCTTTCCTGATGAAGTGAGCAACGCTTGACATACGTTTTTCCTCCCCCAAAGGAAGCTTTAAGAAGCTTCAGAACAACCGATCATTCCACCAGTGAGGGACACTCACTTGGCGAGTTTGTTCTTCACCGTTACTGTTTTCCAGAGGGGCATGGGCTTGTGGCTCCAAATCCAGTCACTGCTGTTTAGGGTTCCTACCTTAGGGCATGTCTATGCTCCGGGGAAGATTGATGCTGCTGCGGTCGATCTTCCGGGGTTCGATTTAGTGGGTCTAGTGAAGACCTGCTAAATCAAGCTCAGAGGGCACCGCTGTCAGCACCGGTACTCCTGCTCCTTGTGAGAAGTAAGGGAAAACGGTGGGAACGTTTGTTGACTTTCTGCTGTGTGGACAGCGATTTAAGATACATCGACTCCAGATACATGATTAACGTAGCTGCAGTTGTGTATCTTAGGTCGACCTTCGCCTCCAGTGTAGACCAGGACTTTGTTACCTTGTTGGGAAAGCCATAGCAATCTGGGATGGGAAAGATGCGTGCAGGATTATTGAGCAAAATCATCAGCTGGCATCAAGAGGCCTTGTATTCTCCAGTCTGGTTCCACATGACTTAGCTGATGGGCTTCCATTTCTCCTCCTGAGAGACGGTTCCACACTTCAGGGGCATGTCTTGTAGAGGGAACCTGTCGCAGTAACTTGAGCACAACAAGGCAGCATCTCCACACTCGATGCATGTGCATGGGCAGTGGCTGGGTTTTTACCCTTTGCCTCTAGGCTGCCGCTACACTCCCATGCGTTGGGCACTTGGATTTCTGAGCGTGCCCCCGATGGGTTCTGCCACCGCTGCGCACTCTGGCATGCAGTGTGCCGTGTCACATGGCTCACGGGGGGACGTGTTTGCCCCCCGCAGGATGCTGGAAGGAAAAGCCCAAACCGAGACGATGGTGCGGGACAGTATTATCTGGCAGGTGGCTCGCAGCCAGGATGACTTTTTTGCTGAAGAGGCTAAGCAGAGGACAAGACAGACTCCCTTTCTGAGAAGCTTTTGGGGGATCGTGGGATAGCACCAGAGGATTCACTTGCAGTGATGGTTGAATCACAGCTCTGCCCCACACACAACTGAGGTACATGTGATGTAGCCCACCGAGGGTTGATCAACACCTAAGAGAGAGAGCTCTGTGTTAGAGGGACCAGCTGATCTCTCGGTCAAGCTGAAATCGCTTGTCTCAACGCCCCTGCCAGGTCTCTATGGTCGGAAACATTCCATTGGAAAATCCAGTGGCAACTGCTCCCACTACCACTGTGAGCGAGAGGATAAAGACCCTCGTAGCTTGAAGCTCTTGGCTGTTGTTTGGGATTGCTGGACTTCTCTGGTTCTTGGATGCAAAGGTAGCAGAGAGAACTGAGGGCCACTGGCTTGCTCAGCGCAGTCCCCTGAGCGAAAGGAGAATCTCCATCACCAGTATAGGGTCTCTGACACGTGTGCGGTTCTGCTGCTGTGCAGACAAGGGCACTGCCCTGTCAGGTCATTGCGAGATCATCAGTCCCCCTTGCTGCTCTGTGACCACCAACCGGTTAAAGGATATCATTTGAATCGTTGCGCCGGTTAACTGTTTTGAGCGATGTTTGCATCCCTAGAACTGAGTGGAGTGATTTGTGAATGTTCTTTGGTCCTTATCCATTGAGGGTCCTGACATGTGAGGTCATCTGGGTGGACTGATCTTGGGTTCCTCGAGCTAAAGCAATAGCGCTGTGAACTTGAAGGCCTTCCCTGACTCAATCAGCACAGATTCTAGGACCCTGCAGCTATAGAGCCGCCTTCATCTTTCAGGGTTTGCATGGAAGCGGCTGAATGGGCCAGCTGCAAATATCTCATTGCAGAGTAGACCTACGCTGACAGGCTGGGGCCTGGGATGGGGTCGTCACATGCCAACGCTTCCCCAATTAATCCCTCTGACTCGTCCACAGTGTGCGGAGGTTAATTGGTTTGCAGCTCTGGCCTTTCAGAAGATGGAGCTGCAGGGCCAAAGGAAAATGCCACGTTTATTGGTTTGTGCCGAGGGCTCGTTCCATTGTGGAGGTTGTAAAATGGGAAAGTTTGGCTGAGAGATTCAAGGCAGGGGCATCCGGTTCTACTGAGGCCTGGCTGGTCTGTTGCATCTGCTGACAGGGTGGCATCCATTGTCCTCACACAGTGCTCTGGGACAGGTGCTCCCAGGTAGGCTTGCCAGATGCTTTCACCAAAAATCCCGAACATGGCAACAGCAATAACAAAAAAACACCCCGGGAGACCAAAAAAAAAAAAAGGGTGCTGTGCCTTTAAGAATACCTGTGCTCCTTGCTTTCCCCCGCCCATGCCAGACATGGCAGGGAAAGATTGTCCTCACTGGCCTTCCGTCCGAGAGAAACAGACAATGCCGGATATTTTACATGTCCAGTATTTTCCGGTTGTTGGGGGGAGCGGAGTTTGTTGTTGTTTTTACTGGACAGGAGCCAGAAAAAACAGAAAAAAAACAGACTGTCTGGGCAAAAACCGGACACCTGGCAACCCTGCTCCTAGGATCAGCGTTTCCTGTAAGCTGGGCGCGTGTGCGGCCTCTCAAGAGAGTTCCCAATGCCACCCAGCTGAATAACAGAGCACCACAGCGAGGTTTTCTGTGTCTACTGATGGTGCACATCCACACATGCCTTGGTGCACACAGGAAAAAATTATTCCACACATGGATGAAAAAAAATCTGCACACGGATGGAAAAGGTTAGAGGGGAACATTGCCCGTGAGTTGTTCTAATTTGCATTGTGGTAACACTTGTCAGCCCCCCCAACGAACTTGTAAAACGAGGCACCAGATGGACTGGGCCAGACACAAACAATGAGGCAGTATTTTTCAGTGTGGTGGGCAGGGATATCAGCTGACCAGCTGCCTAACCCTGTTGTTGAGGCTTTTGTAGGCCTCTTAGAATGATCTGACACCGAAGCTTGGGTATAGGGTGATGGAGGACAGTGGTGGTCTGAGTCAACAATGTAAGGCAAGGTTAAAAGCCGAGGGCTTGTTTACACACATGCCGGGTACTGATTTATGATGCCAGTGTTGTTAAAGCCATATAGTCATTCCACTGCAGATGCAGCTATAATGGTATGAAGCGCTTCACGCTGGTTTGGCTTATTCCTATGGGAAGAGGAAGAAGGTATACTGGTAGAAGGATCTCTATATTGGTCGATCTGTGACCACACTAGGGATTGTACTGATTAAAAAATGATCAATTAAAAATCAGATCCTTAACCCACCTTAAACCCATGCAAACTGCATAGCTGAGGCCTACAGATGATAGAAGCGCAGTGAACCCCCTTTTCAATTCTGTTAGTGAAAAGTTAACCAACTTTGTTCATAGTTAAGCAACTATTTAAAGTGCTTTCTTTTTAAACCCAATCTGTGCCTTGCACGCTCTTTCCCAAAGAACACAATTGACAAAACAAAACAAAACTCTCCGATACTTTCCCAATAATAAAGAGGGAGGTGGGGGGAACATTTGGACACAGCCAGCTGAGAAAACAAGATTTTTTTTTGTCTTTTCCCATCTCTTTCCACAATTAACACCATGTATAATTTGCAGCTGCTGTGCTACCATTAATTTTAAGTGTTTTTTTTAACGAGGCAAAGAGGAAGCGGCCGTTCTGTAACAATAGGCTGCCAAAATGGGATTTAATAATAATTAATTCATTCATTGTGTTAATATTGTTGACTTGAATTATTTCTTTCTACAATTTCATGGGACTGATTATTAATGAAAGAAAGTAATTAGCCGGCAGCACATAAGCAGAAACCTGGCTGGAAAGATACAAGACTG